TATGTCCTATGGGAAAATAAAACATTACAGCAGAGTTAGGGAATAGAGAATGCAGGAGTAGGGGTTCAAGAAAATTGGAATCCTCTAATTTTGCTCAAGCTTTACAAGGGTGATAGAAAATCTGCTGATATTCTAGTTAGATATTAGACTTAATATAGTTTAGAGTCACGTTCACCACATTATTTCATGTAACCTTTTTCTAACATAATGAAAATCTACCATTTCTTGTGAGGATACAACTATGTTATCTTACTGCTGCAAAATGCCATCTAATATGTGACTCATTATCAAAGAATAGACCTGTAATTCTAGTCTTCCCCATCTTCAGTTGTTAAAACAATCAAATATACTTGCATTTACAGGCTCCTCCACCATGGAACTATTATTTTCCACTTCTGCTATCCTTGCAATATTCTTTGATTGATTTGCTAATAACTTAATTTCTCATTTTGTCATCTTGCAGACATTTTATACTAATTGTATTTAATGGACTGTGAGCTACTGAAATATTTAGAGCCATTGCTAGTAAATGCAAAATATGCTTACTGATAGAATATAAAAATAAGCAATTGGTAAACCAATGAAGATATACATTATCTGGGATCATTGAGCTTATAAAAGTTTAATGGAGGCTAGAAGAAATATCTCATTACCATTCTAAGAAACTAAAAAAAAATAGTGCTGGGCAGATTGATGTAGCAAACTAATATTTGAATATACTGGAAATCATCATGTTATTCACTGATAACTTTTAAATTTATTATAGCAAGCATTACTATGTTCCCACGGTTGGTTGATTTTACAACCAAATCTCATCATACTTGACTACAACCAAAGCTAGTTTTCTCTTCATTTACCTTTTCTGTCATTTAATGAAATCCTTTTAAGCATGTTTGTTGGCATTAGTATAAATAACTTCTATTCAATGTAGACATGATAGATGTTTACCTTTGTTAGTTTATTTTAAATATATATATATATATGAATAAACTTTGGTTTCATTATTTTATTTTGTTTATTGTGATAAAAATTGTTAAATTATAGAGTTCTTAAAGCTGTTTCACCTGAGATTTTTAATTTTTTTTTTTTATTTTACACTTTGCCTCCATCTGTTCTGAGATTTTGTTGGACATAACATAATACAAGTAGGCAAATAAGGGTGATATATGCAGCAAGAAAAAATACTTCTGTGTGATTCTTAAGGTGTATTAAGATGAAGTAATTTAGTGTCAAGGAATAGTAGAAAATAAGTTTTGATAATGAATAATAATTAAAACCACTTATTCGTACATATAACATGTTTAAATATTACCTCAAATATTTAAAACAAAACTATGGCTAAGTACAATTGTCTTCATTTTGCAATTGAGTTAATCCAGGATACAAACATGCTAGTGACTAAAAGCTAGACGAGTCAAAAGGGGGATTTTCCTTATGTCTCTGATTCTGAAGTCGGTAGTTTACGGTATGCTTCCATGACCCTCCAGGGTGAAACAATGAGTGCTACCGAGGATTTTAAGGAAGGAGAAGGAGAAAGGCAGGCTATGAAGTGTAGAGTTTAGGCAGTAACAGACATTTGAGGAATTTGATTAAGGAAGTCATGTGATAATCTCAGCATCACAGGCAGATTGAATCTAGCCATGGTGTACAATTGGAATTGGTGTTGGGGAAGGAAGGGAGAAGACAGCTAGCTGGTCATTACTCTAGGTATGAGTTGAATATTATATTAAATAGAGATTTGATATATATGAAGAGGAAAAATGATTATAAGATGTTTTTAAAGAAATAGCAACAGGATTTAGTTGTGGGCGGAGTGTAAGTAGAATGGAAGTAAGAGAATTACTTTAAATGTTTACATATTGCAAATGCTCTGAATTCCGTTTTTTGAGTGATCTTGTGCAAAACTATTTTCTCTGTCCTGTTGACTTTAGAGGATTCTTACAGAAATTCTAGGACGTAAAGGTCTACAAAAGTGCTTTATAAACAGTAAAAGCCCAACAAATATAATGTGACTTTTGTACTATGACTTTAAAAAATTACCAAAAAGAGTTATTAAAAATGAATTTCTACCTCTGTAGCAAGTCTGAGGGAATCAATATTATTCAAGTAAATGACATTTTGGTGAATCTTCAAATTATATTCATATTCCATTGTCAACATTTTCTCTCTCTGAAGCAAATGCAAAAGATAACACATTTCTACCTCCAGCAGAGAGTCTAAAATATAATGAGTATAAGAGAAAGTCACAGAAGTCAGAATGGAATCAAGTTTTCATATTAAGTCTGCATATTTTGGCTAAGGCAAATAATTGCTATTGTAGTACAGTGTTATAACAAGGGCAGAAATGTGTTATGTGTTGTAGACATAATTAACCTATTGTCATAAACATTTTAGGGAGGTTCTTCATTGTTGGTTCTTCTGGGACCTTGAGATATTCACATCCATTGATTTTCTTGAGGTGAAACAGTCTGTAATTTAGTCAAGTCCAAAATTGTTTTCAAGATGTGTACAGACCTGTTGGATGGACAAGAAATTTGAGATGTAGGCTAGATTAAAAGACAACCGAACTTCTGAGAGAGATTTTCTGTAAGTGAGAAGGTTTGGAGTGTGGGCCGCACTCTGTAACAGCAAGCCTCAATGGAAGGAGAGCAAATTTATTCCACATATATTTTAGAAGCTGTTTCTTGCCATTTCCTGGTTTAGCCCATTTCTGGAAGGTCAATGGAACATACAGAAGAGAGGGAGTGCAGAATAAAGAAAATAATAGGTGGGAGCAACAATACTGGTAGAGAGGAGCCCACTGAAAGGGCTGTTAAACAGAAAGGAAAGGGCTCAATAATTCAAAAAAGACTTGTATAAGCACAGTGTATAGTGAGTAAATGACTAGGTGCAGAAGCTGGGGCCAGTGGGCCACAAAGATAAGGAACAGCAAGAACAGGACTAGAGCAGTGGCAGAGGATTAAATATATTCTAGATTTCCCTCTCCTTCTCTGGTTACCTGGAAATTCCTCAGGAGAGTAATGTGGAGGAGAGTGAGAATAAGACTGGATTCTTTTCTAAAATAGTGGATGAGTGTTAAATCCATGAAATTGGGAGTGTTACTCTAAATGTGATACACCAGTGATCTATGGAAGGCGAGGGCAGAAAGATAGTTTAAAAAGCTGAGGTTCATACAGTTGTTATATTACAATCCCATTTTGTAATGTATAGTATTTTAAATTGAAAACAAAATCTCAGTCAGTAAAATCAAATAGTTGTTATTGTACCTACTACAATTTTTATTCTCTTTAGGCAATGTCTATATATCTTCTAAAATTTTAGAGAAAGAAAATTAGTCCACTAAATTGTCTTGTTATTTAAAAAGTTGTTTTCTGTATGATGGCAAAGTCCCACTTTTTTCTAAATATAAAATTTTGAGGGGGACTTATCTCTATTGTTCTTGGTCTCTTCCCAGAGTTATGTTAAGTTTACTAATCTTTTCAAAGAACCAAGTTCTGGATGATCCCTTTATTGTGTATTACCCTGTTATATTAATTTAATTTTTCCTGTTATTTCCTTTTATTTGCCCTTTTTTTGCTTTCTATTTTATTGGTTTCTTCAGTCATTAATTTAATATCTTTATATTTTAATATAATAATTTAATGCTGTGTATTTTTTCACCAAGTACAGATGTTGATGCATCCTACAAAGTTTGATGTGTCATATTTTCACTGGCATTCAATTATAAATGTTATCTTTTTATTTTGGTGTTTTGGACATATGTAGTATTGAGAGGTTATTATTTATATCTGCTATTATATCTCCTGTTATTCTTACTATGTCTTATTAATATTGCCTCAATATCTTAAGTAGTCTGTGTTTTTATTATAGTGCATCTAGGTAAAGATGTTTTATTTGTTCTGACTGGACATCTCTGTGCTTCTTGATTCTGAAAAAATAAGTCTTTTGTTTATTTTGGAAAACATCCTCAATTACTATCTTCTCAAATATTGTTTCTTCTCCTAAAATTTTTTTACCTTTGTCTTGAAATGTAATTAGAAGTTGTTGGACTTCTCTTTCAAAAACTCTTTGTCTCAGTTGCATTTGGTGTAACATTTTGCTTCCATCTTTTAGTAATTAATTTTGTCTTCATTTAGGTCTAAATTCAGATGTTATATTTCTTTCTTGATTTTTTTAATGTTTTTATCTTATTTTTGAAAGCGAGAGAGTGAGCAAGTGAGTGGGGGAGGGCAGAAGGAGAGACAGACACAGAATCAAAGCAGACTCCAGGCTCTGAGCTGTCAGCACAGAGCCGGGCTTGAATCCACAAACTGTGAGATCATGACCTGAGCCAAAGTTAGACTTAAATGACTGAGCCACTCAGGCGCCTCTGTATTTCCTCTTTAGAAGTTGTATTTTTTTTTCAGGTAATTCTATATTTATTTATTTTTTAATATGAAATTTATTGTCAAATTGGTTTCCACACAACACCAGTGCTCATCCTAACAGGTGCCCTCCTCAATACCCATAACCAACTTTCTGCTCCCTTCCACCCTCCATCAACCCTCAGTTTACTCTCAGTTTTTAAGAGTCTCTCATGGTTTGCCTCCCTCCCTCTCTAACCTCTTTTTTTTCCCTTCCCCTCCCCCATGGTCTTTTGTTAAGTTTCTCAGGATCCACATAAGAGTGAAACCATATGGTATCTGTCCCTCTCTGTATGACTTATTTCACTCAACATAACACTCTCCAGTTCCATCCATGTTGCTACAAAAGGCTATATTTCATTCTTTCTCATTGCCACATAGTATTCTATTGTATATATAAACCACAACTTGTTTATCCATTCATCAGTTGGTGGACATTTAGGCTCTTTCCATAATTTGGCTGTTGTTGAAAGTGCTGCTATAAACATTAGGGTACAAGTGCCCCTATGCCTCAGCACTCCTGTATCTCTTGAGTAAATTCCTAGCAATGCTATTGCTGGGTCATAGGGTAGATCTATTTTTAATATTTTGAGGAACCTCCACCCTATTTTCCAGAGCAGCGGCACCAGTATGCAATCCCACCCGCAGTGCAAGAGGGTTCCCATTTCTCCACATCCTCTCCAGCAGCTGTAGTCTCCTGATTTGTTCATTTTAGCCACTCTGACTGGTCTGAGGTGATATCGCAGTGTGGTTTTGATTTGTATTTCCCTGATGAGAAGTGACATTGAGCATCTTCTCATGTGCCTGTTGGCCATCTGAATGTCTTCCTTAGAAAAGTGTCTATTCATGTCTTCTGCCCATTTCTTCACTGGATTGTTTGTTTTTTGGGTGTGGAGTTTGGTGAGTTCTTTATAGATTTTGGATACTAGCCCTTTGTCCAATATGTCATTTGCAAATATCTTTTCCTGTTCCATCCGTTGCCTTTTGTTTTGTTGATTGTTTCCTTGGCAGTGCAGAAGCTTTTTGTCTTCATGAAGTCCCAATAGTTCATTTTTGCTTTTAATTCCCTTGCCTTTGGGGATGTGTCAAGTAAGAAATTGCTGCGGCTGAGGTCAGAGAGGTTTTTTCCCTGCTTTCTCCTCTAGGGTTTTGATGGTTTCCTGTCTCACATTCAGGTCCTTCATCCATTTTGAGTTTATTTTGTGAATGGTGTAAGACAGTAGTCTAGATTCATCCTTTTGCATTTGCTGTCCGGTTCTCCCAGCACCATTTGTTAAAGAGACTGTCTTTTTTCCATTGGATACTCTTTCCTGCTTTGTCAAAGATTAGTTGGCCATACGTTTGTGGGTCCGATTCTGGGTTCTCTATTCTATTCCACTGGTCTGTGCATCTGTTTTTGTGCCAATACCATGCTGTCTTGATGATTACAGGTTTGTAGTAGAGGCTAAAGTCTGAGATTGTGATGTCTCCCACTTTGGTCTTCTTCTTCAATATTACTTTGGCTATTCGGGGTCTTTTGTGGTTCCATACAAATTTTAAGATTGCTTGTTCTAGCTTCGAGAAGAATGGTAGTGCAATTTTGATTGGGATTGTAATGAATGTGTAGATTGCTTTGGGTACTATTGACATTTTCTTGACAAAGAATATTGACAATATTCTTCCAATCCATGAGCACGGAATGTTTTTCCATTTCTTTGTATCTTCTTCAATTTCCTTCATAAGCTTTCAATGGTTTTCAGCATACAGATCTTTTATGTCTTTGGATAGGTTTATTCCTATTTGGATAGGTATTTTATGATTCTTGGTGCAATTATGAATGGGATAAGTTACTTTATTTGTCTTTTTGTTGCTTCATTATTTGTGTATAAGAATGCAACTGATTTCTGTATATTAATTCTGTATCTTGTGACTTTGCTGAATTCATGTATCAGTTCTAGCAGACTTTTGGTGGAGTCTATTGGGTTTTCCATGTATAATATCATGTCATCTGCAAAAAGTGAAAGCTTGACTGGAAAAGCTTTGCCAGTTTTGATGCCTTTGATTTCCTTTTGTTGTCTGATTGTTGATGCTAGAACTTCCAACACTTTGTTAAACAACAGTGGTGAGAGTGGATATCCCTGTCGTGTTCCTGATCTCAGGGGGAAAGCTTTCAGTTTTTCCCCATTGAGGATGATATTAGCTGTGGGCATTTCATAAATGGCTTTTCTGACCTTTAAGTATGTTCCTTCTATCCCGACTTCCTTAAGGGTTTTTATTAAGAAAGGATGTTGAATTTTGTCAGATGCTTTTTCTGCATCGATCGACAGGATCATATGGTTCTTATCTTTTCTTTTACTAATGTGATGTATCACATTGATTGATTTGCAAATGTTGAACCAGCCCTGCATCCCAGGAATGAATCCCACTTGATCATGGTAAATGATTCTTTTTATATGCTGTTGAATTCAATTTGCTGTATCTTGTTGAGAATTTTTGCATCTATGTTCATCAGGGATATTGGCCTGTAGTTCTCTTGTTTTGCTGGGTCTTTGTTTGGTTTGGGAATCAAAGTAATGCTGGCTTCATAGAATGAGTCTGGAAGTTTCCTTCCATTTCTATTTTTTGGAACAGCTTGAGAAAGATAGTTATAATCTCTACTTTAATGGTCTGGTAGAATTTCCCAGGGAAGCCATGTGTCCTGGACTCTTATTTGTTGGGAGATTTTTGATAACTGATTCAATGTCTTCACTGGATTTGGGCTGTTCAGGTTTTCCATTTCTTCCTGTTTGAGTTTTGGAAGTGTGTGGGTGCTTAAGAATTTTTCCATTTCTTCCAGGTTGTCCAGTTTGTTGGCATATAATTTTTCATAATATTCCCTGATAATTGCTTGCATTTCTGAGGGATTGTTTGTAACAATTCCATTTTTATTCATGATTTTATCTATTTGTGTCATTTCCTTTTCTTTTTGGGAAGCCTGGCTAGAGGTTTATCCATTTTGTTTATCTTTTCAAAAAACCAACTCTTGGTTTCATTGATCTGCTCTACAGTTTTTTCAGATTCTATATTGTTTATTTCTGCTCTGATCTTTATTATTTCTTTTCTTCTGCTGGGTTTGGGGTGTCTTTGCTGTTCTGCTTCTATTTCCTTTAGGTGTGCTGTTAGATTTTGCTTTTGGGATTTTTCTTGTTTCTTGAGATAGGCCTGGATTGCAATGTAGTTTCCTCTCAGGACTGCCTTCACTGCATCCCAAAGCGTTTGGATTGTTGTATTTTCATCTTCATTTATTTCCATATATTTTTTACTTTCTTCT